GGGAGTTGAGTGTGGGAGGGAGGGAGGGAGGAGGAGTGTGTGGGAGGGAGGAGGGAGTGTGGGGAGGAGGAGTTAGTGTGGGAGGGAGGGAGGGAGGAGGAGGAGGGAAGGGAGTTAGGGAGGAGGGAGGTAAGGAGGGAGGAGGGAGGAGGGGTTGGTGGGAGGAGGAGGGAGTTGGTGTGGGAGGGGAGGAAGGGAGTTAGTGTGGGAGGGAGGGAGTTAGTGAGGGAGGGAGGAAGGGAGTTAGGGAGGAAGGGAGTTAGTGAGGGAGGGAGGGAGGCAGGTGAGTGAGCCAGGCAGCAGTGGGCCGGGAGACCACCAGCTCGGGTGTGTGTGTGTGTGTTAACTCCAACGTTTGTAAACTTTAATCAAATTGTATTTATTGATGTTGGTTGTGTGGTGATGGGGCCCAACACACCATCACGACCCCTCCACCTCCTCCACACCCACGGCAGGAGGAGTAGAGTGGAGTGGAGCAGTGAAGTGGAGTGGAGTAGAGTGAAGTGGAGTGAAGTGGAGAAGAGTGAAGTGATGATCTAACGTGTTGAAAAATGCAAAATAAGAACTGATAATGTTGATATTTACACAGGAACATAAAACAGTTACAAAAAATACACCTCCCACATCACATTCATTAACAAAAGAACCACACACGAATAAATGAAAAAAAAAGATAATAAAAATAACCTTAAGTGTATGAATATTAATGTTTATCTTCCCTAGGTAAGGAGATGAAGAGGAAACACGTAAATCTTAGTCACTACTCAAACGTAAAAACACTTTCAATATTTACCACAATCAATCACGGACCTACATATTTCCTAATCTATTTAATTATACCGAAAAAAGTGTCTATAAATGTGAGTAAATTATATAGATTAATTAGATAGTTAATGGTGTGAAGTAAACAATATATATTTGTTATCTAAGTTACGGGAATATTTTGTTTAGGTTAGGTTAGTTTAGGTTATGTTAGGTTAGGTTAGGTTACGTGTCCTGGCATTAATTACACTATTGGGTCTTTTTTTGTTTAAAGTCGACACAATATTACAAGAGACAAAGAAGTGAAGTCATATTACTGGGTTATATTACGTATATGACAACATTCGCTGGATTTTTTCCCATTATCTACAGCATAGTTTATAATCCTGTCTTGAAACCAGAATCCAGTGATGTTGTTGTTTTTGTGGAAGACATTCTTGACCTTGCTGCTGCCTTGACACACACACACACACACACACACACACACACACACACACACACACACACACTTCCCTTCAGTAATTCCCCTGACATTTTCGACGAACACCTTCTCTAAAAAGTCTCTCTACACAGTCTCTGTCTACAGTCTCTCAACACAGTCTCTCTACACAGTCTCTCTACAGTCTCTCTACAGTCTCTCTTCACAGTCTCTACACAGTCTCTCTACAGTCTCTCTCCACAGTCTCTACAGTCTCTCTACACAGTACAGTCTCTCTACACAGTCTCTCTACAGTCTCTCTACAGTCACAGTCTCTACTCTACACAGTCTCTCTCTCACAGTCTCTCTACAGTCTCTACAGTCTCTCTACAGTCTCTCTACAGTCTCTTCTCACACAGTCTCTCTACAGTCTCTACACAGTCTCTCTACAGTCTCTACTCTCACAGTCTCTAGTCTCTACACAGTCTCTACACACAGTCTACACAGTCTCTCTCTCACAGTCTCTACACAGTCTCTACACAGTCTCTCTCTACACAGTCTCTACAGTCTCTCTGGTCTCTCTCACTCTCTCTACACAGTCTCTACAGTTCTTTCTCTCTACAGTCTCTACACAGTCTCTCTACAGTGACAGTCTCTCTACAGTCTCACTGCTCTCATCTACATGACACTCTACACTCTATCTCTACACAGTCTCTCAGTCTCGTCTCTCACAGTCTCTCTGCATCTCTACACTCTTCTCTATACACAGTCTCTACAGTCTCTACACAGTCTCTCTACACTCGTGTCTCTCTACTGTTTCACACAGTCTCTACACAGTCTCTACACTGTGTCTCTACACTCTACACAGTCTCTCTCCTCGCAGGTTTTCACTGTGTCATCTGAAGAGTTTCTGGAACTTACTTACTGTCACTTACCTGTGTCACTTACCTGTGTCATTTGTGTCACTTACCTGTGTCACTTACCTGTGTCACTTACCTGTGTCATTTACCTGTGTATCCTAACCTTACCTGTATCCTTACCTGTATCACTTACCTGTGTCATTTACCTGTATCATTTACCTGTGTCTTACCTGTATCACTTACCTGTGTCATTTACCTGTATCACTTACCTGTGTCATTTACCTGTGTCACTTACCTGTACTTACTGTGTCACTTACCTGTATCCTTACCTGTGTCATTTACCTGTGTCCATCACTTACTTACTTACACTGTGTCATTTACCTGTATCACTTACCTGTGACACTTACCTGTGTCATTTACTTGTATCTTACCTGTGTCATTACCTGTCATTACATTTACCTGTGTCACTTACCTGTCCTTACCTGTACCTGTGTCATTTACCTGTGTCACTTACCTGTATCACTTACCTGTCATTTACCTGTATCACTTGTGTCACTTACCTGTGTCATTTACCTGTGTCACCTGTACCTTACCTGTGTCATTTACCTGTGTCACTTACCTGTGTCATTTACCTGTGTCACTTACCTGTATCACTTACCTGTGTCACTTTACCTGTGTCACTTACCTGTGTCATTTACCTGTGTCACTTACCTGTGTCATTTACCTGTGTCACTTACCTGTGTCACTTACCTGTGTCATTTACCTGTGTCACTTACCTGTGTCATTTACCTGTGTCACTTACCTGTGTCATTTACCTGTACCTGTGTCATTTACTGTGTCACCTGTGTCATTGTACCTGTGTCACTTACCTGTGTATTACTTACCTGTGTCACACTTACCTGTATCACTTACCTGTGTTTACCTGTGTCACTTACCTGTGTCATTATTTGTGTACCTGTACACTTACCTGTGTCATTACCTGTGTCACTTACCTGTATCACTTACCTGTGTCATTACTTGTGTCACTTACCTGTGTCGCACTGTACCTGTGTCACCTGTGTCACTTACCTGTGTCACTTACCTGTGTCATTTACCTGTGTCATTTACCTGTGTGTCACTTACCTGTATCACTTACCTGTGTCATTTACCTGTGTCACTTACCTGTATCACTTACCTGTGTCACTTACCTTGTGTCACTTACCTGTATCCTTACCTGTGTCATTACCTGTATCCTTACCTGTGTCATGTGTCATTTACCTGTACCTGTGTCCTGTGTCCTTACCTGTACCTGTGTATCCCTTACCTGTGTCATTTACCTGTGTCACTTACCTGTGTCCCTTACCTGTATCATTTACCTGTGTCACTTACCTGTGTATCACTTACCTGTATCCCTTACTTGTCACTTACCTGTGTCACTTACCTGTGTCACTTACCTGTGTCATTTACCTGTGTCACTTACCTGTGTCACTTACCTGTGTCACTTACCTGTGTCATTTACCTGTGTCACTTACCTGTGTCATTTACCTGTGTCATTTACCTGTGTCCTTACCTGTGTCATTTACCTGTGTCACTTACCTGTGTCATTTACCTGTGTCACTTACCTGTATCACTTACCTGTGTCATTTACCTGTGTCACTTACCTGTGTCATTTACCTGTGTCACTTACCTGTGTCACTTACCTGTGTCATTTACCTGTGTCACTTACCTGTGTCACTTACCTGTGTCATTTACCTGTGTCACTTACCTGTGTCATTTACCTGTGTCACTTACCTGTGTCATTTACCTGTGTCACTTACCTGTATCACTTACCTGTGTCACTTACCTGTGTCACTTACCTGTGTCATTTACCTGTGTCACTTACCTGTATCACTTACCTGTGTCATTTACCTGTGACACTTACCTGTGTCATTTACCTGTGTCACTTACCTGTATCACTTACCTGTGTCATTTACCTGTGTCACTTACCTGTATCACTTACCTGTGTCACTTACTTGTGTCACTTACCTGTGTCATTTACCTGTGTCACTTACCTGTGTCACTTACCTGTGTCATTTACCTGTGTCACTTACCTGCTTCATCACTTTCCTGTATCACTTACCTGTATCTTTACCTGTGTCATTTACCTGTATCCTTACCTGTGTCACTTACCTCCTTACCTGTATCCACTTACCTGTATCACTTACCTGTATCACTTACCTGTATCACTTACCTGTATCACTTACCTGTGTCACTTACCTGTATCACTTACCTGTGTCATTTACCTGTATCACTTACCTGTGTCACTTACCTGTATCACTTACCTGTATCACTTACCTGTATCACTTACCTGTGTCACTTACCTGTATCACTTACCTGTATCACTTACCTGTGTCATTTACCTGTATCACTTACCTGTGTCATTTACCTGTATCACTTACCTGTGTCACTTACCTGTATCACTTACCTGTGTCATTTACCTGTGTCACTTACCTGTGTCATTTACCTGTGTCACTTACCTGTGTCATTTACCTGTATCACTTACCTGTGTCACTTACCTGTATCACTTACCTGTATCACTTACCTGTATCACTTACCTGTGTCACTTACCTGTATCACTTACCTGTATCGCTTACCTGTGTCACTTACCTGTATCACTTACCTGTGTCATTTACCTGTGTCACTTACCTGTGTCATTTACCTGTGTCACTTACCTGTGTCATTTACCTGTATCACTTACCTGTGTCATTTACCTGTATCACTTACCTGTATCACTTACCTGTATCACTTACCTGTGTCATTTACCTGTATCACTTACCTGTGTCATTTACCTGTATCACTTACCTGTGTCCTTACTGTATCCTTACCTGTATCACTTACCTGTATCTTACCTGTCATTTACCTGTATCACTTACCTGTGTCATTTACCTGTATCACTTACCTGTGTCACTTACCTGTATCACTTACCTGTGTCATTTACCTGTATCACTTACCTGTGTCATTTACCTGTATCACTTACCTGTGTCACTTACCTGTATCACTTACCTGTATCACTTACCTGTATCACTTACCTGTATCACTTACCTGTGTCATTTACCTGTATCACTTACCTGTGTCACTTACCTGTATCACTTACCTGTGTCATTTACCTGTGTCACTTACCTGTGTCATTTACCTGTGTCACTTACCTGTATCACTTACCTGTGTCATTTACCTGTGTCACTTACCTGTATCACTTACCTGTGTCACTTACTTGTGTCACTTACCTGTATCACTTACCTGTGTCACTTACTTGTCACTTTCACTTTAAGACTTTCGAAATAACAATATCTGATAACTTTTTTTACGTCCCATTCAATAAACACTTTTTAACAGGTGAACTTAATAAGTTTAAATAACCTCATTAATTAGTACAGTAGACAAATATATAATATACTGGAATTAATTAACACCTGAGCCAATTAATCCAGGTGAGATATATTTATTGAGATAATAATCCCTATTTTTATTTTTTTTCCTCTCTTTTCCTTTCTCTTCATTTGTCCTTTTCACTTATTTGTGTTGGATGACGTGACATAGTCTGAGCACCTCTCTCTCTCTCTCTCTCTCTCTCTCTCTCTCTCTCTCTCTCTCTCTCTCTCTCTCTCTCATACACACTGACAAACGCACTGACAATCTCTCACTCGCCCACTCACTCATAATCCCACTCACAACCACTCATTCTACCATCATTCACAATCACTCACTCTCGCCCACTCACTCATAATCCCACTCACAACCACTCATTCTACCATTATTCACAATCACTCACTCTCGCCCACTCACTCATAATCCCACTCACAACCACTCATTCTACCATTATTCACAATCACTCACTCTCGCCCACTCACTCATAATCCCACTCACAACCACTCATTCTACCATTATTCACAATCACTCACTCTCGCCCACTCACTCATAATCCCACTCACAACCACTCATTCTACCTGACTTAATAAACACAAGATTCTTCACAGACTAGGTTAGGTTAGGTTAGGTTAGGTTAGGTTAGGTTAGGTTATAGACGAACTGTGAAAATAACATAACCTTACATTACCTTTTAGCTGTGAAACTAACAGAGGAAGCTAGATTACATTTCAGTTGTGTAAGTGTGAGTTTACAGAACGATTAGTAACACCTTCACGTTAATTAGGCTGTGGAACATCGGGTTAGCGGCACTTAGGAATGGTGTGTGTGTGTGTGTGTGTGTGTGTGTGTGTGTGTGTTATATTAGGGGGCAGAGGACCCAACTGGGATTTGGGGTTTGTACCTGCCTCCCCTCGTCCACCCCGTGTTGTGATGTGCCCATGTCTCATCGCCCCACTCTACTGATGGTGCCGCCACTTGTCCACACAGGTAAAGTGTTAAAGAGGAATTATTATGGGAAAATATATACAGGGTGATGGGTGGGGAGGGTTGCTTGGTGAGGTGTGTGTGGGTGGGGAGGGTACTATAAGAGAGAGGGAGGAGACCGGGTGGGAAAGAGGGCGGGGAGGGGCGTACGTAATAATTTTAGCAGTGGTTGAGGCGGTCATGTGGGTCTTTAATGGCTCTCCACTACTTCTCTCTCACACACACACACATATATATATATATATCTATATACGCATACTTGTATATAGTGTTTGTATGAAGATTATGAAACACCACACAGGCGCACACACCAGGAAGCCGAGGTGCTACATGGAGAACTAACCCGTGTGGTCGTATTAACTCATCATCCATAAGCATCGTGGGTGTTGTATAAAGCCAGCTCTGGTAACCGGAGAACATTATTTAAGTATACACATAATACTTTATATACACACACGAGTATAGTTTTATTTAATATTCAGTATATGTAATCGGATATTATACATTTTATGAAACTTGTCGAAATACATAGAATAAGTATCTAAGACCAAGACTCCCGGGTATATTGTGTTTATCGCACCTGTCACAAATATAAGCGTCCGTGACAAAGGTTCTTGTTCCAGGAGTCAGAGTTGGACCTGTCACAGTTCATAGTATTGTTTATGTGATTATGTTTAGGTAGTGAGTAATTAATTAAGAAAAGAGTGACGCCTATAACAGTAATTTAAGGTAATTTGTAAGAAGTTGTTTAATATTGAAGTAATTTTGTTGATGTGGGTTGTTGTTCCGTCTCCTGTTCCTGTGTGTTATGATGTGTTGTGTTGTGTTGTGATGAGGTGTTGTGGTGGTGTGTTATGATGTGTTGTGTTGTGCTGTGTGTGAGGTGTTGTGGTGGAGTGTTATGATGTGTTGTGTTGTGCTGTGATGAGGTGTTGTGGTGGTGTGTTATGATGTGTTGTGTTGTGCTGTGATGAGGTGTTGTGGTGGTGTGTTATGATGTATTTGTGTTGTGCTGTGATGAGGTGTTGTGGTGGTGTGTTATGATGTGTTGTGTTGTGCTGTGATGAGGTGTTGTGGTGGTGTGTTGATGTGTTGTGTTGTGCTGTGATGAGGTGTTGTGGTGGTGTGTTATGATGTGTTGTCTTGTGCTGTGATGAGGTGTTGTGGTGGTGTGTTATGATGTGTTGTGTTGTGCTGTGATGAGGTGTTGTGGTGGTGTGTTATGATGTGTTGTGTTGTGCTGTGATGAGGTGTGGTGTATGATGTGTGTGTGTTGTGATGAGGTGTTGTGGTGGTGTGTTATGATGTGTTGTGTTGTGCTGTGATGAGGTGTTGTGGTGGTGTGTTATGATGTGTTGTGTTGTGCTGTGATGAGGTGTTGTGGTGGTGTGTTATGATGTGTTGTGTTGTGCTGTGATGAGGTGTTGTGGTGGTGTGTTATGATGTGTTGTGTTGTGCTGTGATGAGGTGTTGTGGTGGTGTGTTATGATGTGTTGTGTTGTGCTGTGATGAGGTGTTGTGGTGGTGTGTTATGATGTGTTGTGTTGTGCTGTGATGAGGTGTTGTGGTGGTGTGTTATGATGTGTTGTGTGATGTGCTGTGATGAGGTGTTGTGGTGGTGTGTTATGATGTGTTGTGTTGTGCTGTGATGAGGTGTTGTGGTGGTGTGTTATGATGTGTTGTGTTGTGTTGTGATGAGGTGTTGTGGTGGTGTGTTATGAGTGTTGTGGTGGTGTTGATGTGTTGTGTTGTGCTGTGATGAGGTGTTGTGGTGGTGTGTTATGATGTGTTGTGTTGTGCTGTGATGAGGTGTGGTGTGGTGTTGTGTTGTGCTGTGATGAGGTGTTGTTGGTGTGTTATGATGTGTTGTGTTGTGCTGTGATGAGGTGTTGTGGTGGTGTGTTATGATGTGTTGTGTTGTGCTGTGATGAGGTGTTGTGGTGGTGTGTTATGATGTGTTGTGTTGTGCTGTGATGAGGTGTTGTGGTGGTGTGTTATGATGTGTTGTGTTGTGCTGTGATGAGGTGTTGTGGTGGTGTGTTATGATGTGTTGTGTTGTACCTCGCTGTAAAGGAAACTTAGCACCGGGTCAGAAACATTGAAGAAGATTATAAACAAACAGGAATCAGTAAATATTGTGAAAGGTTTGAGGTGAGGCGTGTAAGCTGTTGACAGGGGTGTTGATGGACGGGCAAGAGAGGGGTGTTGATGGGCGGGCAGAGAGAGGGCAGAATGGTGATGGGTGGGCAAGAGAGGTGTTGATGGGTGGGCAAGAGGTGTTGATGGGGCGGGCAGAGAGGAGGTGTTGATGGGCGGGCAAGAGAGAGGGGTGTTGATGGGCAGGGCAAGAGGGGTGTTGATGGGTGATGGGTGGGCAAGAGGGTGTTGATGGGCGGTAGAGGTGTTAATGGGTGGGCAGGGGTGTTGGTGGACGGGCAGAGAGGGGTGTTGATGGGCGGGCAGAGGGGTGTTGATGGGCGGGCAGAGGGGTGGTGATGGGCAAGAGAGCAAGAGAGGTGATGGGCGGGCAAGAGGGTGGGATGGGCGGGCAAGAGGGTGGTGATGGGCGGGCAAGCAAGAGAGGGTGGTGATGGGCGGGCAAGAGAGGGTGGTGATGGGCGGGCAAGAGAGGGTGGTGATGGGCGGGCAAGAGAGGGTGGTGATGTCACTGTGTCGTGTTCTGTCATACTCGTAAATCAGTCATTACTGTCAGGGTCGCCATAACTCCCAGCACCCGAAAGTATTCTCAGTTGTGCGTGACAATATACTGTACCACAATCCTCCCATTGATATATTTTTGGTGGATTGTGTTTATTAGGTATATTACTGCAGCGGTTTTGTTTAATATGTTTCTATTTTACCAAGGATATATAGGTGAGTAGTGTAAGACTCAGGCAGGGGCGAGCAACACCTCACAGAAACTAGCTGGAGTTGACGATAACTAGTGTGGAGTGATGGCGCCCTTCAGACAACTATACTCCAAGTTCCGCGGGCTGCTGCAGGAGTCGTGGCAGACCAACGAGGTGACGGCACACTTTGGACCCACCGCCACGCTGGACAACATGTTCCAGTACCTGTGGTGTCGGTCGGAGGCGCAGCAGGTGCTTGTGCCCTCCCCTGGCAACTCCCGCATCAGCAGGAAGGGCGCCACCGAGTCCGAGAAGTTCCGCAACGAGGGTAATCGTCTATATCGAGAGCGTAAGCTGGAGCAGGCGTTGCTGGCCTACAACTACAGCATCCTGGCGGCCCCTCACCCACCTGTGGGAGAGTCCGTCCCGGAAGAGCCCGCCCCTGAACAGGAGAGCTTGGCGCTCGCTTATGCCAACCGCTCGGCTGTCCTGTATGAGATGGGGCAGTTTGAGGCAGCCCTGGCCGACGCTCAGCGGGCCATAGTGTTCGGCTACCCACCTGCTAGGAGACATCGTCTACAGGAACGAAGAGCTAAGTGTCTCCAAATGTTAGGCAGATTACAGGAGGCCAAGGCGGTTTTGGATGACACAATTAATAACCTCTCGTCGTTGTCTTTAAATGAAAAAGAGGCGGCGACCGTGAAGACCTCTCTCACCAAGCTGCTGGCCAAGTGTGAGGGCAGCACCGCCCCTCCTCCAACCCCCCAGCACCAGTACGAGAGGGTCTTCTACACAGGTCCCTCCTCCCCGCCCCCTGTCTCCTGTCCCAGCTCTGACCTGCCCTGCCTCAGCGACGCCCTCAGGATCCACTACACGCCCATCCTCGGCAGACACCTGGTGGCGCAGAGAGATATTCAACCAGGTAAGTAAACAAATGTGCCACCCACCAAACACGTCATCACTCTACTGTAGAAGGACATTATCACTTGATAGCACTTAGCTTATTCCACCTGATGATTAACCACCCTAACGCCTTTGAGTGAATGTGGTTAGGTTAGGTTAAGTGACTCATTTTTCATTTCTCTTCATTCATTCAGATTCACACGTCATTCATGCATGACTCTTCACTTTTCATTCATATTTACACATTCTTCACCGACGGCTGTATTTATACATAATTCTTCCTTCATACATTGTTCTCCATTCATACATCACATTTCATTTTTATTTACGCTTCATTCATACATTGTTCAGCGAGGGCTGGAGGTAACAAGGGTGGTGTGTTGGCAGGAGAGGTGTTGGTGGTGGAGGAGGCGTTGGCAGCCGTGGTCAAACTGGACGGTACTCTCAGGACACACTGCTCCCACTGCCTGCGTCGGTGCCCCATCCTGCTGCCTTGCCCTACGTGTTCTCTGGTACGTGTCCGGTTTGACTTGCCTTGCCCTACGTGTTTTTGGCTACTTGTCCCCTCTCACGTATTTCTTCGTATGGGTCATTTACCTGCTTCCTACCAACTGTAAATGCAAGAGGTTGTGCCGGCCCTTGTATTTGGGGATATGGAGTATTATTGTTTTTATTAGTAGCAGTATTACCACTATTATGCTTATTATTTAAAACTCTGGTATATTTGTTATTTAGTCCTTTCATTTATCAACATGTATATAAATATTGTAAACAAACATCACGTTGGTGAGTGGTAGATACAGGCTGTAATGGCCGCTGTTATTTCCTTTCTTGCACCGGAGTGAATATTTTTTTTTCCAATATTTATATAATCATCCTGTGGTGCATTACAGTCTGTGTTCTGTGAGCAACAGTAATCTTTGTCAGTTTTTCTCAGCCTCTGTTACACTGTCGGTGGTGTTGTGTGAAAAGCGTAAGATTCTAACCTGTGTTGTTTTACAGGTGGTGTTCTGTAGTGAAGGTTGCCGGAGTGCTGGTGTGGGCGGGGGACACGGTGTTGAATGTGAGTTGCTCTCAGCCCTGGTGTCCCTTCAGCTGGACCCTGCAGCAGCCCTCGCCTTCAGGGTTCTCACCTCCACCACCCTCACGGCCCTTCGAGCCACTGTGTCCACCCTCCAGCACGAGAGTGGGAGTGGTGGGGGCTCACGACCCATGATGCAAGTGGCTCACAACTACCGCACTCTGTACCACCTTGAGGGACACGCCACGGCTCGGTCAGAGAGTCAACTACAAGAAACAGCCGCCATCGCTTGTGTTTTGACACGCATCCTCATAGAACAGTGTCCTAAGTTCTTGGAAGGTCATGATACTCATCCTGTCGCGATTACACTTGAAGATGTTGTATTAGTGGGGGGACAATTAATGCGGCTCATCCTGGGTCTGGAGTGTAATGTTCACGGTAGTAAAGAGGTCACAATAGGGGATGAGGCACAGGAAGGTGTCGGGAAGAACCGCGGACAGGAAGTTGGCTGGTCAGTATACTCGGCTCTGAGCCTCGTGAACCACTCTTGCATGCCCAACACCCTCACCACCTCCCTGGGCAGCACCAAGTTCTTGTATAGCGTGAGTACCATTCCACAAGGAGCGGAAATCACAGACAGTTACGGTGAGAGATACGTTAGTCACGGGCGCTCAGCACGACGTGCAGCACTTCAGCAGCATTATTTCTTCTGTTGTGGCTGTGTTGCCTGCCAGGCTGACTGGCCGCTATATCATGAGCTACCGATGAAACCAAGTTTGCGGTGCCCCTCCTGTTGCCAAGCACTGAGTGGGTTCACGTGTAAGCTGTGTGAACTAGTGTGCACGACCACAGCCAAGCTGAAAACAGGTGTCCAACTGTACGATGCTCCGAGCACTCAAGTGCAGATGAACAAATATTGGTCGGAATATGTTCAGGCTTCAGCCCAGATCAACAGCGGTAAGGTGTCCCCCGACCTGATGGCCACAGTAGTTAACTTGTTGATGTTACTGGATAAATACACTGTTCACCCCAACCAGGCTTATGTTAGTGCTCAGGAGACACTGATGACCTGCTTTGACCTGATGGGTTCTGTCCACTTGGTGACCAACTAACAGTAAGTGAAGCTTCTTATGATATGAGGCAGCATAGGCCTACTGTACCGGGTATCTCTTACTGCGGTGAATCTGTGATTAATTTACGATTTAATAATAATAATAATAATAATAATAATAATAATAACAATAATAATAATAATAATAATGATTTTCCTCTGATACCAATGTTGTGGAAGCTGCCAGTCATTACCTAATAGTTTCAGTAATAAATGCAAACTGCGTGTATTGAAAAAGCCGCCAGTCTACCTAATGCAAAACCCTTTCTTTGTAAATTAAGAAGGAGTGTTGTTAATACTTAAAGACTGAATAAAGAAAATACTTCCCTCTGAGATCGCGTAAGTAATGGACTTTCTTGGGTACACGGATGACGTTGCCAATACTTGTCGCTGAGGTCGTGTGGCTGTGACCGTAACCTTCTCATGTGAAGGTTAATTTAGATTCCCAAGCAGTGGTAACTCTAGTCACAATGTTTTTTTATTGTCGTAGTTCTAGTCACAGTTTCATATTTTCCTGAAAAAAAAACCCTGAGAAGTAAACCACGTGATGACCTATAGAGAGACTAATGGACGCTGGACAATTGGTTTATTGATCGTCACCTTTCATCTTTTGATTTTATTGGTTGGGACTTTTTCTCTTACGAACAGTTTTGCTTCAGGTACAGTGCCTCCAGCGACCATCTATTGTTGTCAGGAGCTGGAGAAGGTGAAATAGATCATCAAATGAGTATCACCTTGAACAAGAACAATGGCAGAGCTTCCTTGAATGATTTTAATACTACAGCATAATAGGAACGTCTTATGTCGTCCAATAACAGGTTCATGGAGACGCGTTAAAGTTATTTGTATTCATTAACCTGTCTGTGATTATTTTTCTGTCCAGAAGGTAAGTGTGTATATTTTGTAATAGTTGTTTTGCTTTTTAAAACGGTCTGGACCTTTATGTGGAGTTTCAGGTCCAGTTGAGTCACTATGCTGTACTGTACGCGACTAAAATAAATGTGATTTCACCCGCCCTGTAGTTCATTTTACTTAAGGTAAGTCAACGAACGGTGATTTTCCTTTAAAACTGCATAAAAAACATTTTAAAACAGCTGATGTTCCCCTGTACCTGTATGAACTTTGAAGATGTTAAAACTACTCGGGTTGTTTGGTTGAGGACTAATTTAGTGTTACAACGGAGTCGTGGTCGAAACTTAGAATCTCATGAATAATTTTCGTTAATAATTATAAATTTTGAGTTTAGCTAATAATAACTAGAAGTGATTTGAGAAAATGAATGAGACTGTAGATGACGGGTAATCGTGAATGACGTTCTTTCTGCCATCCAGTCGGTAAATAGATACGTAAGTGATTTGCATGTGAATCGGTAAAGCGAACCAATGAATTAAGGAATCGAAGCACCTCAAGGGTTCGGCATTCGCCAGTGATCATTATAGTACGGTGGTGGCAACCTGTGTGTATGGTGATACAGTATTTGAGAGCTATTTCCGGTATTTACGTTCGCTGTTTGTGGATTACTTCGTGGTTGTGGCGCTGTAAAGGCTTCAAGGACTCTACGTTGTGGTTATCAGCAGTTGAGTGCAGGTATGTTGATATAAATGTTGTTTTGTTGTGCTGTGGCGTCCAGAAAGGGGGAGCTGGTAGGATATGCTATCCGTGTCCGGGAACTGTGAAGGCCATGACCCGGAAAGATAATGCTATTATGATGGTTATTAACGAAAGTTATAATGTGGGTATATAAATAAAATCCGGAAAGATTGCAGTTCCATTACCATTTGATTTTTACCAGAAATAAAGGGTTTACCCATTTTTTTAACGGGATTAGCCCACCAGGGGACAGGTTTATGACCCATCAGGGCCTGGGGGGACAAAATAAAATATTAATAAAAAATATAAATTAATGACAATAAAAAACAAAAATATTAAATAAAAATATGATAATAATAATAATAATAATAATAATAATGATAATAATAATATTATTAATAATAATAAAGGAACACAGTAAATTTTTACAAGTTGACAACCATGGATTTTTTGTTGAGCAATGTGTTTTCCGATGGTTTAGACAATATTAAGACATTTTTCTTCTATGACGTTTCCCTCGCAAATGACCTAAAATTACCTAACCTAACCGGGGGGCTCCGCCCCCTCCCCCCTGGATCCCTGGTATATTTAAGTCATCTGCGAGGGAAACGTCATAGAAGAAAAATGTCTTAATATTGTCTAAACCATCGGAAAACACATTGCTCAACAAAAAATCCATGGTTGTCAACTTGTAAAAATTTACCAGGACCACAAATAATAATAAAAAAAAATCAATAGTGAAAAACGATATATTGTATGTATGTGATGCCATATAGCAGCAGGGTCTACCATTAGACAACACATTATGCTTCCAATATCTATCGTCGGAAATGAGTCGTTTTGGAGTTATCACCCCCTCAAAAAATTGCTCAAACCCACTTGGGAGTAAAACTGCAGTTATAAAAAAAATCCTAGAATTAGTAACAGTTCATTGTTGTTTCGTGAACACTGTTGTTGCACGGCGGGGTACCTGTTTACCTGTACTGTACATGTGTAGACATTTACCGTGGACAACACAAAATATTTGTAATGCATATTTCCAGCTTAGTAAGTGTGAACGTAACTGAGGGTTATTGGGCGGGCTCTTTCATGTTAAACTCAAACATTGTTCAGTAGAAGTTTTTGTCAGGGGAAGCATGAAGTTATCGTTACCACTGCTTACTTAATAGAGCTATTACCTTTTTCTTTCATCCTCTTCACCACTGATCAGCTCGTTAACCTCTTGGGCGGTCAGTCACGTCTCTTGTTAGGCACTGTTGGCAAGTACTGGGCATGCACTGACTCCTGAATGAATCTGAACCTGCTCCAATGCTGATCAAGTCAGGTCTTGAATCGGCTCACACTCGACAGGTTGTTCCACGCGTTCACAACTCATCACTCTGAAAAAGTTCACCTTCACAGTTTTCTGGACTTGCGGCTTCTTCAACCTTGAGCTGTGACCCCTTGTGGGACGAGCGTCCGCCAGCTTCAGGTATGGAAATTCGACTGAGTAGTGCCCTTTGAGATGCTTGTACACCTCAATTAGGTCCCCCTTTGCCCGTCTGTAGTATAGCTAGGCAAGTTCAGGCGCTCCAATCTCTCCGGGTAGCTGAGGTGCTGCAGTGCAGGCACCAGTCTGGTGGCCCTCCTTTGGACATTTTCAATCAACTGACAGTCCCTGGCATATTTGGGGGACCAGACGGGGTGACAGTACTCCAGGCGGGGAAGCACTTCACTCTTGAAGATTATTACGAGAGACGGACCGTCTAGATATCTGAACGACCTTCTTATAAGACCTAATAATTCAGCAGCCTGATTTACCTTCTTCTCGCAATGGCCCGAGAACTTCGGTTCATTGTCACCGTACACACCTAGGTCCTTTTCACATTCGGTCTAATTTAATGCAGTCTCTTCATCCCGTTGGGACATATGATACGTGTTCCTTACCGTTGGTACGTCCCAGGTGCATCCTCTTACACTTCGTGACATTGAATCTTAGCAGCCACTTCTTAGACTACTCTTGAAGCTCACAGAGGTCCTTCTGCAGCTCTTCACAATCTGCTTGGTTCTTAATTTCCCGAAATAACTTGGCGTCATCCGCAAACATGTCTATGGAAGAATGTACAGCTTCAGGCATTTCATTTATGAAGCAAACAAACAACAGCGGGCCCAATACACTACCCTGTGGTACCCCGCTTGTGATGGGTACAGATGATGATTTCGTGCCATTAATCACCACACACTGCTTACGGTCATGTAGAAAGTCTTCTATCCCCGCTCGGACAATTCCCCAAAACCCGTACCCTTCCAGTTTAATTTTCAGCCGTTCAAAGGGTACACTATCGAAAGCCTTGGCAAAATCGAGGTAAATAATGTCGATATTACCACCCCGTTCCAGAATTTGGGTCCAAATATAAATTACCTTGAGTAATTGTGTCAAGCAGGAGCATCCCAGCATAAAACTGTGTTGGCAATCATTTACAAGGTTGTTTCGTAGTAGATGCTCCATCATGGTATCTCTTATAATGCTGTCAAATACTCTACATATTATGCTTGTTAGGCTCATTGGCCTATAGTTATTTGTGGAGTGACGATCGCCATTCTTGAAGATAGGACTCACATAAGCCATTTTCCAATCACTGGGGACCTTTTGTTCATCCAGGCATTTACTGAACAGGATCTTCAGGGGCTCAGCTAGCTCGGTGCACAACTCCCTTAGCACTCAAGGATGCACCATGTCCGGTCCTTTCAGGACTCTTATGAACCTTTAGTTTTGACAGTTTATTTCTTATAACATCTCCCGTGAATACAATGTGTCAGTGCTGTGTTGTACCGTCCGTCCTCAAACACAGGAAGATTGTTTGCATCCTCTCCTGTGAACACCGAGGAAAAGAAGCTGTTCAATGCCTCGGCTTTGTCCTGATCAGACTCTGCGTAACTACCATCATCAAGCCTCAGATCCGATACTCCTACTCGCGTTTTTAATTTCGACTTTGCAAACCTGTAAAATGCCTTTGGGTTTGTGCTGACCTCGCTTGCAACCAGCCTCTGGAACTCCTTTTCAGCCCTTCTACACTCTGCCTTTAGTTGGTTCCTGGCTCTTGCATACATCCTCCTCTCCTGCTCATCGTTTGACCTAACCCACGTCTTGAATTTCAAGGTTTTCTTTACTTTGTCGACCGCACTGTGTTTGGTCTTGGGTATGTATTTATCGATCAAATGGTTTACTTTACTAGCTATGATATTTAGTGTAGCGTCCGCGTTCTTATGCCTTAGTGAGTCAGGCCAGTGGATACCCTTCATCTCTTCCTTCATCCCGTCGTAATTTCCCTTGTAATACTTGCACCTTGGCCTGGTTTTGTCGTGAATTGAGTAACAGTTAAACCTGAAGGACAACATTACATGGTGACTGGTGCCAGCTGGGGCTAGATGTTCCAGTTTGGCCCCATACCCTCCTCGGTCGTTATGATGAGGTCCAGTGGCTTGGGTGTTTGCTCCCCTCTGTAATGCGTCGGGTCTCTAACATGCTGGACCAGAAAATTATCTCTCATAGTTTCTACAAAAAGATTAGCGGGGTAATTTAAGTCATTTGGCGTGTGCTCATTTCTCCAGTTTATGTCGCCATAGTTAAAGTCCCCCATGGTAAGGAGGTGGCTAGGGTTGAGTCTCGCTGCGTTGTGTATTACTTTTTACTTTTACTTTTATCCTCTTCACCACTGATTGGCTCGTTAGCCGCTTGGGCGATCGGCCACGTCTCTGATTACTTTTCCTTTTCATTTATCCTTTTCACCAAAAGATCGACTCGTTAGCCGCTTAGGCGATCGGTCACGTCTCTGTTACGCACTGTTGGCAAGTACTGGGCATGCACCGGCTCCTGAAAGTACCTGAACCTGCTCCAGTGTTGGTCAAGTCTTGTCTTGAAAGAGCTCACACTCGGTGCCGTTGTAGTGGATTTCTCCCCTACAAACGCTGTTTGTCGCTGAGTAGCCGACCCCACCAATTCCCCAGTGTATGCCTCGTGGTCTAGGTCAACCAGCGCTGCCATACATCACGGAGTGGGGGTCAACTACTAAGCCACGCCTACCCCCCAGCTATTTAAGACCTGACCTCGTGGTGACCTGCCTCTTTCTACCTACACCAACCAGCCAGCAACACCTCCTACGCCTGCCTGGCGGTCCTCGCTCCCGCTGGCGAGCATGGCAACCCACAAGCTGTCCTCCTGTGAGCATCCTCACCAACCAGCTCTGGTAGATTAAGACTCTTAAGTTCCTTTGGTTTGGTAAGCTGCAGTTTGGGGATCTGTAGATGCACCCGACAATAAGCACATCTCCTCTCCTCCCCTCAATTTAATTTTACACCACTTTGATTCTTCAAAAACATCTTCTCCCTATACCCTCACCTGGCATGTTCTAAGGTCTTGCCTAGCATAGATAACAACTCCCTTCTTGCAAGTTATTTGAGAAAAGTTCGTAAATAAGTCATATCCGTCTTATTCTTGTATAACAGTTCTACAACTCCTACCATATCGGGTTGGTGTACCTTCAGTAGTGTTTCAAACTCCTCTCTCTTGTCGAGGAATGTGTCAGTATTAGAGTACATGACATTCAAGCTCGGTAACGTCTCTGCTCTTAGTAGTAACTCCGGCCCCCCTCCATTCTCAGCAGCTGCAGCATTTGCTAAGTACACTGTATTTTGCAGGATGTGGTTAGAAATGTCATTGTTTACACGGTGCTCACATCTTCCCTGATAGTAGATAGAGCTGGTGCCTCCCACTGGGTGATATAGGGGGGGGGGTGGTGTGTACCGCTGCCCTACGGCTCAGCGCTGGTGCACTCGCTTCCACTACCCTCCCCCTGGATATAACCCATGTACGCCCGTCCCCTCTTAACCTCGACTCCTCCTTCCTCTGCTTCAAGCTCTGCATGAGCTTCCTGTGCTGTTCCCTCTGTAATATCGTGCGATCTGGGTGAATGAATACATCCCGAAATGTCCCTCTCCTTGCTAAGTTTTTTGCCTGACAAATAACTTCCCATTTCTCCCCGTCACTCACTAGTGAGGTATCTGAACCAGTCGATACCGAGGCAGTGTTAGAGCCAGGGGCTTGGTTAACAGTGAGGCGAGATATCAAAGCTTCAAACCGTTCACTGTCAACACAACACAAAGCATTTTTAATGCATATTTCCAGTGTAGTAACTGTGAATGGGTTATCCTCTACAATTTTTGCACCCAGGTCACCCAGCAGTAAATAAGTTCTCAACTTTGCAGTTGGGCCATATCTAAACTGCTGCTGATGGTCTTGCAGGCCTATGAGATATATTTTCACTTTCTCACCCACAGTATTTACTTTCCCTGTACAGTATACAGTACTGTACTGTACTGTACTGTACAGAGAAACTATAAATGCTCTGTCAATCCATTAGGTCTCTTCCCTCTGCCATACATAACTTATATTCTTGTTATCTATTGTAACACTTTTACATGCAGTACTTTAAGTTTGGTGGGCTCCAACAGACAATATTACTTTTTCAACAGGATAAGAATAAAAATTTTGTAAAATCAAAATGAAAAAGTCATATCTATGTTTATTCAGTAAGAAGACTGTACACTGTATACAACACTTGCCCATGTTATAGTTCATACCATTTTGACCTATTATGTACATTTAAAAACCACAAATAACTATTTCACAACATAGTGGGAAGACCTTGTGTTATGTCTTGTCATTGTTTATGTATTATGTGGCAATCAAACACAGTCGTATTTCATTAAATACAGTATTTACACGTAAAGATCTTAAGTCGGGCAAAAAAATCCGTTTCTACCGTATCACTAATGAGCATTAATAGCCTCATTGCTTAAGTAAAATGAGCATAACAATCACAAAAATTACATCACATCTGGACGGCCAATGAGCATCGCTGATGGTAGTATTGTCGAGAAACCTGTTCAGTATTAGTAGTCCTTGTCTGAGAAACTGAATTTGCATCTCCTTGCACGCAGTCTTGGTAAAGCTTGTGTAAAATGTAATATTCTGATTGTAATTCATTGTATATTTAGATTCTCTCCACTCTGAATGAAAACACGACTGTACACTTCCACACATGGTAGGATCAAGTAACATCCTTAATTATACCTGTAGTTCTTTAAATACTGTACTTTAACACAGGAATAAGATCTAAACTAATTTATTTAGATGTGCTTGATTTATGAATATTTACTTGTGAAATGAAGGGAACCTGCAGCATCTCAAAATACTGTACAGGTATATAATAATCAGTATTTTCTGTCACTATAGCCACTTGGACTTTGCTGCAGTGAGGGATTTGCCCCACCCTTGGGTACTCCATATAGCAATTCAATCATGTTTTCATCCACTGTAAGCACTCTGGGACACTGTACTTTTCACTTTTTCTTTTACATTGAAAATGGTTAACTGAAGCTGAACCTAACAAGCAGGGAGAACTACATACAGTATTTACTTCAGTTTAGATAACATTACAGTATTCTGCTAAGATACAGATAGAAATGCCTACAAAAATATACGGCTGATGGAATTTATTCAGAAACCTAAGAGTCAGTATCTCCTTCAAGTAGATTAAAATATATTTTTTGTACATGTAAATATAACTGTTTTGTCTTGTTTAATTAATGTAAAATAACAATGACAACACCAAAAGTACATTACTGAATGCACTGACAATAACAGAATAAAACCGAACTAATTTGTTAAATAAGTTAATTATGGAGATGATTTATTGGCATTAATATTGATTTACTTAATTGATGCAACACAATGACTAGTCTTGTATGACATGGCAGTGAGAAAACGCTCTTATTCTGAAACATCTTTAAAACCAATAAGAATTCTCGGCATTTAAACTTTATCAGCAGTACAGTAAATAAAAACAACACCTGAGACAGAACTGTTGTCATTGGCTTGGCACAATATTTATGAAAAATAAGTACACTACAATCTGAATTCAAATGATTGAGGTAGAAATAATATTCACAGCAGGAGGCCTGCACAATTTACATTACATTTTACAATATCAAAATGACAGCTCTTAGAAAAGATCTCTTTATCAAGGTTAGTAAAGATTTAGAATTGTGAGAGCACCTCAGTTAACATACATTTTGCTGCTGGTGACGTCCACAAGCATTATGCTGTTGATTTCCTGAAATCACAAGCATTATGCTATTGGCTTCCTGACACCACGAACATTATTAAGCTGTTGGCTTCCTGAGACCACAAGCATTATGCTATTGGCTTCCTGAGACCACAAGTATTATGCTGTTGACAATGTAATTCCACAAGCATTTTGCTACTGGTGAAGCGAGACCACATGCATAATGCTAGATGGCAATATGACTGCCACAAGCATAATGCAAGCTGGCAACATGACTGCCACAAGCATTATGTTAGCTGGCACTGTGAGGTGATAAGCATTGTGCTAGCTTGCTAACAGAGACCACAATAATATTATTAACTGGTTACAGGAGATCACCAGCATTATGCTAGCTGACCATGTGAGACCACAAATATATTTGTTGGCTACGTGAGACTGCAAGCATTATGTTAGCATCTACATGAAACCCCAGGCATTAAGCTAGCTATGTGAGACCACTAGCTAATCAATATTTGGCAACTGCTGTATAATGAAGTATGCATTGTGATGAGGGGGGAAGTATTACTCGCTATATACTGTATAGTGCCATCTAAAAATACATAGTGTATTCCTTCAAACTTTACTACTGTACTGTCAACACAATTATAATAATTTCCACCTACAAGGTATGTGCTATAAAGATTGTCTAAGTAAAACTACTACCTGTATTTATAAAAAAATATAACCCAAATGGATTTATTTTTATTACATTGTACGTTGCTTTTTCCCAAAGAGAATGCAATCAGCAGGACAGTCTCAGTCTTCGGACAGATTACCACACTGGCTCACATTTAAGTGTTCAGATGAATTACCACAATGGACTATCCATCAATGTTACTGAGAGCCTTCCATTCGAGAAGCTAATGGTCTTGCCCTGCAAATGAGAAGGAATATTTTAACAGTGGCTAAAAATGCTGCAACAATTTCAACATTTTCATCTTACATTAGGTTACTTAGCAAAAAAGAAAATTTAATAATTCATGCAATGCACTACATAAGCTGTAAGACCATCATTGTTATACTCATACCTGTACCATTAAAATATATCCTCTATGAATGACAAACATGTTATAAAATAGTCTTTGTGTGTGTAATGTTAATCAAATTTTATTTCCATAATTAGGTTGTTGGCTAATTAATTACATTTATTTTAACATAAAAAGCAAACATAGTCAATACTAATGTCATATACTTACAAAAAGCCATTCCTAGATTCCTAATTGGTGTGTTAATACTGTAAGAAAATATGGTGACAGTTAGTACTATTGGTTTGTCAGTGTAATTAGGAAGGGTTCACATTTAATATTCAACATGCCAGTTATAAAAATACCTTTTGGACTTTGTAATTCATCTTAAAAAAAAATATTCCTCACCTGCAAAACAATGTACAGTCGGCGTCAAAAGTCTTGAACACTTAGCAATATCTGGCATCTACTTCTGAGTTATACATACCGTATATGATTGGGATATACTAATAACACTATTTGTCATCACATATTATGCCTGAACCACAAAATGGGATAAAACTCTCCTTCATACCTAAGATCTTTGGGTACTTACGTGCCAAATACTGTCAAGTGTTCAAGACTTTTGACCCCGACTGTACCATATCTTTAAAGGACAGTAATGTACTGTCACAAAAAATTAGTCCTGTACCTTCAAAATATTTCTCTTACATATTCTTTCTTCCTTGGAATATCTAGACTTCAGTCCACAAATTTATTTTGTTGTTGTTTTGCAAGATTTTTTTTTATACAACTGCCCTTTCAGCAATACCAAGAACATTTGATGAAAATAGCAAGCATGTTACCAAGGTACAAGAAAGTTCCATATAATATTACACAACTGACAGCCTAAATATATACTATACAGTAAGTCCGTGCTTAACGTCGTCCTGCTTAACGTTGTGTCGGGACTATGTCGCTAACTTTAGAGACCAAAAATTTGTTTAACGTCCCGGTGATCTAATACTACGTCGTTTTGCGTCGTCACGGACTACTTTCTATGGCGCATCACCCTCATTGTCTGGCTGCATTACGCTCTCTTGGCTAGTCGCAGTCTCAGTGACTCACCACCTTCCTCCTCCCCTCCCGCCATATTCTTCCTCTGCTTCATTACCCACCACACACTTGCTCTACCACCTCCACCCACCGGGTAGTTAATATTCCTTAAAATATCAAAATATAAATACTGTACGATACAGTACAGTATACAGGTACTGTATATTAAACAACTGCAGTGAGTCTTTCTGTGGCTGTCCATCAACCAATCAGCTGCCTTGCTATAAACTGACCCTAGGCCATAGTTGCAAAGTTCAAGTGAACAGACTATTGGACTCCACGTATTATAGGACACAGGATAAGCGTACATTTATTCAAGTTTTCAAAATTTCACAAATGTCTATCATGGCCAAACCTAAACTGGTATTTGCCTGGGTCCCTAAATTTGAAACTCATCTGAACCCACACAAAATAATAGTGTGAGAATCCTTACTCTCTTTATCACTTGCAAATCCTTATTAATCTGAAATTTACAATATGGAACTAAAGGGCACAATAAAAATGATGGAGGATTAACAAATACACACACAAAGAAAGAAAAAATAATAAGTATGACAAGAAAATAGTTATAAAAGAAAACAGAGTAATGTCAAAGAAACATCACTTAACCCATCACACAATACAGTACAGTACAGTAAACTGTATCTATCAAGACACATCACAACTCATCAGTAATTACAAACATAAGTGATAATAACCCCCCTTTTGTATCATTCTCCTGATTTAAAGATCCTTAACCTACCTACCCTACACCCCAACATTAAATTAATATCTTTTGGTGGGAAATCCACAGTTGTCAGGACTACCACACTTGCATACTGTATTGAGGATTCTAGGGCACAAATTACTGCAGTGGAAATGTTAATGGCCAAGCTGGGTTTTTAAATCCTCCACTTAATATCCCTGTTTGAAAGGAAGTTCAGTGATGAAGCTGCAAAGACATTTTCTTTGATTTTAACATGGCTGACACAAAGCAGTTATTAGTAAGGGAGGTTTGACGACTGAAGTGTACTGTACAGTATATACAGTACATATGTACACCCACAAAAAAATTATTCGGCACCCGTGTCATAATGCATCACATCGTGAGGGTGCCGAGTAATTTTTTTGTGGGTATAGTACAGTACAGACCGGCCAGAGGGGCCATCCCGATGTATGCCAATAAGTTATACACCCAATAAAAATTTATTCGGCACCCTTACGGCACGATACAATATGACACGGGTGCCGAATGATTTTTTAGTGGGTGTACAGCATGAAGTCACTCACTGATAAATGTGGTACAGCAACAATTACAATTCTAAACTAATGATTTATTAGTCTGCACACATTAATGGTAAAAACAAACAACAAGAAACTATTTGTACAGGGAGTTCTGCTATAACGCGTGTTTTGATAACGCGAATTTGCTCTAACGCGATTTATGAATTCGGAACAATATTTGTATAACGCGAACGCTTGTTTGCTATAACGCGATTTTTGCTTACTATTTCTCCAATTTTGTGGTATTAACTGTGAATATGGTAAAGAAGAATATCTCCAAAAGGCGCTCTGATGATAGAATTCCCGGTGATTATCGTAAAAGAAAGGATATAACACTTGAAGAGAAGCTCAATGTTATCAACCTCAAAATCACCCTTCTCCCCCATCAAGTTACATTCATATTTTTTCAAGGTAAAGTGTTAAATTTACTGTATGATTTCATTATTAGATATGAATGTAACATTTATTTAGACTGTGCTATCCTTTGTGTTAGGCTAAATACTAAATTTTTTCGATTTCGAGTAATCTGCACCTAACCCTATTTTCTCCATAAGCCCTGTTATTTCTATTACGCGATTTTCTATAACACGATATTTTACAAGAACACAATTATCGCGTTATAGCAGAACTACCTGTACTCTCTGTGAACTTACCTAAATCGCACAACAGTTTTACCAATTTGTTCGCCTTTGGCTACATGTGAAAATGCCACCTCAGCATCCTGGGCAGTGTATACCTTGTCCACAACTGCCTGCAACCGTCCAGAGTCTACAAGAGGCGACACCTTCTCCAGCACATTACCGCTGACTTCTGAAGTACCCCATCGACCTCCAGTCAGCCAAGGTGACTGCACAAATAATAACATACTTTGTTATACATGTATTTAATTTGTTGATAGGGTGTCTAATATTTATCCCACTAAAATATAAGCAAATAAATTAGTACTCAGCAATGTTTTGTTCAGACAGTATTAGTAATTTTTTCACTCCTGTTGCCTCTGGGTCTAAATATTTGGAAAGGACCGGGCTGAAAATAGCTAATACATCTGGGAGAGAAACTGGAAAACTGTTAAATATAATGTAGCAAAAATATGTAAATGATGATAGTGTTATTTACAGCAAATCCTGTAATGGATGCACAAAGATGTACAGTATATAGGTGAGATTTTAAAGAAAAAACTTTCTCAACTAAAAAAAAAGTTGAGAGAGAATTTTACCTTTGTGAACCAGTATCTTGCTCTCATGTACAATGAATAAAGGCCTCCTGTCACATATCCAAAAGAGTCGGACGCCAGTTGAGATGAGGTGGTGGTCACTACGACTCCACCAGGAAGACAATGTTTTAAACAGGAATCATGTAGCACCTGACCCACTGTGTTGAGGATCACATCATATCTGATTACACAAAAATAAGAAAAAATCTCAATAGTCTGCATTTTATCATAGATTACATTTAGCCAAATATCATTCATTGCAGTTGCAATTAGTAATGTTTATATGATTTATAATAATGTATCTTACGCAATTCATGCAATAAGCATCAAACTGAAACATCTTTGGTGTACACTCGCTCCAATCGTTAAAATTTTGTGAGAGACTATGACACAATGGACAAAGGATTTTGACATCCATACTGAGACAACAGTTGTTATAATGTGTAACAGCATCGTACTTTTCTCTTAGCATGAGCTCCTTATCAAAATTTGAATTATCATAGGTAATGACGTCTTCAGCACCCAGCATGTGTGCCAAAGGTGCTGCTCGGGAGGATACTGTTGTAGTGACACTTCCTCCCCAGGCTCGCACCAACTGTATTGCCACCACCCCCACACCAGACACACCTGCATGTACCAACACTCTGTAAATGAGAATGAGTTTAGTCAAACACATACTGCAGTAAACAAGAGGATAAAACGAGCAATATCAAATAAATTTTCAGAGCATTGGTGCCTTAGTGGAGGCTTCAGAGTGGAAAAGTCAAAATAATATGTTGGACTTTACTGTATAAAATGTTTTGAGAAATTTTTCTTATTAGAAACTGTTCAATAGTTGCCTAAACATAGAAATATTTCAATTTTAGAACTGTGTGTATGTAAGAATATTTGTACTTGTGTGTAGAATTTCTTAATTTATTTACACAAAAGTAATAAAACACGTACACCACTATCGAAACTTAGCTCAGTATGCATTACACACCAGTACATACTACAAAATTAATGCCAAGGTGTGCGAGGATGAGAGATGTGCTTCTGTCTTGAAGGTATCATATTTTGGTTTCACTATAAAATTTACATACAGTACCATTGGTAAGTGTGTTAGCCAAGAAAATTAATACTAATTGTATCTGATGGACTCACTGAGACAACTTTTTGCCCAGGCTGTGTTGATGTCGCTGATGACCAATTCTTAGTACAATACAGTAATAAGCTTGACACTATGAGCTCATCTCACCTTTTGCCTGTGGTAGAGTCTGGGCCAAGACCTCCTTGTGTTACCAGAGCATCCCAAGCAGTCATAATACTGTATGGAAGTGCAGCGGCTCCTTCATAAGATAACTGTGTTGGTTTCAGGGCCACCAGCTTTTCTGACACCACCACATATTCACTCAAAGTCCCTGGATGATAAAATGGAACTGCAAGCCAAACCTGTGAGACACCGGGAAGTCATCATCATACATTTATAACAAGTTATAATAATGTTGAATAAAAAACATTAAATGTTAAATTACGGTAACAAATTTTTTTTGCTGGAAAACAAAAAGTATTTTTTTATTGCCATCAGCTAATAGTTCAATCTACAGTAGGTTCTCAAATTTCTCGAGTTTTTAATTCAACGTTTTTTATTTGGACACACAAAAAAAACCTACACAATTTCAAATTTTGACGCCGGAAACTCAAATTTTGACGGGTTTGAGCGTCTTCCACGATGCTGGTTGATGGGTTGTAGCGGAGGTTTTCTTAGGGTCAACTGAAATCAGCCCCTTACAAAGACTGATACCTCATTACTTAGCAATTACAAGTATTCTTTATACTATAAAAACAATTGATTTAACTAATATTGTTGATATACTGCGAAAAATACGATTATTTACTTACTCAGTAGGTAAAAAATACAAAATAAACGGCTGCAGCTACACAACCCTTGCTGCTGTGCGGTTTGTTTACTAATGGCAGTGGTGCGGCAGCGCCATCTATTGAGGAATTGCGAAAGGTTGTCTGCTGGTCTCAAAGTGCAGGAATTTTTGTTTCTTCACACTTGAGTGTCTAGAACTTTGTTCATTCACTACCAGGCCTTCACTGGTGTCACAAGACATTTTCATTCCTGCAAATTATCTTAGTTGTTTGTGGCGCTAGCAGCGCCATTAGTTCCTTCCCGCCCACACACTAAGACAGCAAGAACTTATCTCTTGGTGATCTCGTGTTCTGACGCTCATTTCGCGCCCTTGATATGGCAAGTGTTGAACCAGTAGGTGGTGGGGGTCAACCTGGTGTGAATGGGAACCCTCCTAAGCGCCCAGAACTGCCAAAGGCAAAAAGGGAGTACAGAGTTGGCAAGAAACATGCAAAATATAGTTTGGCTGATAAGGCGAAAATTGTGGAATATATCGAGAAAGACATGAAGACCAGAGAAAAATTCGGCGACTAACAGGCGCACCTGAAAGTACAATAAGAACAGTGAAGCAAAAGAAAGGGACTATTAAACAACAACTGGACATTGGAAAGAAGTATTTCGGCACCCACGAACGAATGAGTGCAGACACAAGTGAATAAAGCAAAATCATTGCAATAACCGAGGCGTACCTTAGCAAGTGGTTGAGCAGGAGAGTGAAGGAGGATGCCAGCGTGTCTGGGCCAGAGTTGGGTGAGCAAGCTAGAGTGATTTACAGTGCAGTGTGCAGAAAAATTTTTTTTTCATCTTCCCCCAGTTTCAAGGCAGAAACTGCATGCGTGCAGGAATCAAGATATGAATAAGCTTAATGTGTATTAGGAGAAGACTGCCAAAGGTTACATGGACAAAAATCTGTCAAAGAAGTGGTTTGAGAAGTATTTTATCCCTGATGCAAGGGCACATTGTAAGCATAAGAACCTAGATTTCAAGGTGTTGTTATTCATGGTCATGAGAGGTATTTGGTAGACTTCCACCCCAACGTACAAGTGTGCTTCCTTCCTGTGACCACAACTTCAAAGATACAGCCGCTGGATCAAGAACTGATAGCCAATGTTAAGCTCATGTACTACCTCACCGTTCACAACCAAATGAGCCATGAAGCTGACAGCCAAGTTGAACTGCTATAAATTGCTACAGTTAGTGATATTGAGAGTGAAGATGAGAACGAGTCTGCCACCCTTGAACCGTCTGCCACACCTGGACCATCTTCTGCCACTCAAGGACCGTCTTCCACCCCTGCCCATATCCTAACCGTTAAGCAATTTTGGAACAAATTTAATATTCGCAATGCTGTTGACACAATGGTTGATTCGTGGCATGAGATCAATGTTCCAAAAATCACGCATGCTTGGACACCACTCTTCCCTCATCTCAAGGTCGAGTGTGGAGGTGCCTCAGGTGCGCAGCAGCTAGACAACGGTTCACTGTTAGCAGAGACAGTCGAGTCAGTAAGGCGTGTAGGCGGTGAATTTGCTGAGGTCACTGAGGACACTGTTATGAACCTTGTCACTTTTAATTCTGAGGAAAACATAACTGAGATGCTTCAAAATGATTCTGATTCTAGCTCAGACAAAGAAGGACAACCAGAAGTGATTGAAAAATTGACCACTGCCAAGCTGGAAAAGATTCTCACAGAGTGCAGTGACATGAAAGAATCACTTCAGAAATTCACTCAAGACGCCCCTGAACTACAAAATGCATTGCCCTAACTTGACAGTCTCAATGATATTCCCATGGCAATTTACAACTGCAAAATCAGGGAAAAACAACATTCTGTGATAACAAGATTCTTCTCACGCCGCCAGGATGTAGCCGACGCAATCCAGAACATTCGCATAGCAGATGGGGCAGAGGATGCTGCAACGGCAGATGTTGAGCCACTCGAGAACGACCTAGACTTTGAAGGATTTCTGGATGTGGCCCAGGATGGCCCACATCCAACTAACCCACCTCTAGCCTCGGAATAAACTTTTTTTGTGTTTTTTTACTTTTTATTTAACTTTATGTGTTATTTTCGTTGGTTTATTAGGATATTGCTTTACTACCAAAAAAGTAGGGTAAATAAGGCAAAATTTAGCCAAACATCGAAAGTACCAGACTCAAATTAATTTTCTCCACAGGAAGTTGTATTTAAATTTGGACGATTTGAATTTCGCGAGGTTTTTACAGTCTAAATAGGTGTCCAAATATGAGAGCCGACTGTAGTTATATCTCCATTAGGTGGACCAATTGGTGCAGAGTTCTTCTGGGAATGAGAGATTTCTGGGTAACGAGACGACTCTCTCAAAACCGGAAAAACCCTCCTCCCTGGAATTTTCCGGGTAACGGATAATTTTTCAGAGAAGTTCCAGAAATTACACATTATATCATCTCCCGAACCCAGGGAAATATCCCCCATCCCCGGAATTTTCAAGGTACAGTAGGCTCTCACCAATAACGCTTAATAGGTGCCTGAAAAACACCGTTATCAGCGAAAACGTTATTTGTGTGACATTAAAATACATGTAAAAAGGGTTTATTGGTGCCACCGCCACAAGAATTTCACCCATTTTTTCCCCTTGAAGCCTTCCTAACACTTTTTGTTAGCTGAAATAAAAAGAATTGCTATTCAATCATCAAAATAAAGAGTTTGAGTAATATAACACTTAGTTTTTGAGGTGCTTGATGTGATGATTGTTCCGTATCTGAGGGCCGCTAACACTTGCACTGTCTTTCATTCTACAAGCTAAACATTTCACAAGAAAATGCTCTGTTATCACTAACAACCCGCTTCTATCGCCTTTATCATTCATAGCTCGCCTCGCATTTCCATCACTACCGAAATATTTTTAGCCAGAGCAATACTCTTCTTGGTCTCCTCTAAGTTCCTCGTAATATTTTGCACTGTAGACTCAGGACAGTTCAATTTCCTCACTTTAAAAGTTCCCAGTCATTCAAGTGGCAAATCACTCCCTCCACCACCTCCCCTAGCCCCCACAGGCAAAAATGCAGAAGCCATTATTGATCACCGACCCTAACAACCACTGGTTATAGTGGCGAAAATCTCACACGTGGGTGCAGCGCTGTGTTCCACTGAGCGTGTGTGAGAGTGAGGCGGAGTGGACAACTACGTCATCAACATGGCGGCAAACAAACGCTATCATTGATGCGCTCGGACGCTTCCTGCGAAATTTCCGTTATTCAAGAGAATCCAGACGTTATTATCGAAAATGGGTATCTATTGTAACTTACCGTTATTGTCGAAAACGTTAATGGCGAGAGCCTACTGTACTGGGAAAATTTTCTCATAATTTTCCAGGGTTCTGGTCCTGTTTTTATTATTGACTCCTCATTATGTTCTCATATGATCAGCCATTTATGGTGTACAATTCATCATAAATAATATAACATCTTCAATAATAGAAAAAATAAAATATGTATGTAATTTGACCTAGCAATAAAAGTACAGTAGAGTATAAGCTGTATCTATCACTCCCCTGACCTCATCTCCCTCTCGTGATGCTTCAAGCAAATGAAATTTTTCAATAAGACAGAAACCATTTATACTGTATTATGACGAAACAAAATAAAACAAGGTATCAAGATGAAAATAATCATACAGTACTGTACATATTTTGTTTTGTTTTTCATTTTATAATAATGGAGACTGAAACTTGATAGGGTTGGGCTTATAAGGAATGTGGATTTGAGTTGTAACAATGCTGACAATACCTGTCCCTGTCCATATACCGTACTTCCCAAACACAAGTGTCCTCAGATAGTCATATTTGTTTCAGTAATCTTAAAGAACAGGTTTATGGTCACGGGGCATCAACATAGTAAGGGTGAAAACAATCAAAAGTTCATTCATTATGTGGCTGTACTATCATGTTTCCACAAAGATTTTGCAGTCTAATATACTACGAACACCCCATGTTGGTGATGCACTCCAAGCTGGTGCACATGCAACACATAGCAAAACACTTCTACCTCATTTTCTTACAGCATTTGCTTTCCTCTTGGTCAATAAGCACTTATGTACTTATGACTAGTTTGTCACTGTCACTAGTGATGAAGTTTACACATGAGCTATTATTTCTGAATTTACACCAGTCTACCAGTTCTTCAGCCTCATCCTCACTCTGCCCGACACAATTGTGGGACAAAAAGTGCTCATTCATCATCTAGGTACAACCTCCATCACTTAAGGGATAATAAAAGCATTTTCAAAACTACAAAAAATTCTCTTGAAAACTATGTAACAATTAAAAAACATTAACAGATTATGAACTTATTGAAAACCAAGTAAAAATAATAAAATATCAATACTGCAGCTACCTTGTATATAAAAACAATACTGCAGCTACCTTGTATATTAAAACCTATGACTTACCTCCTCCCCCTGCTCAACTCGTGTGACGGCCTTGCCTATGGCCACTACAATACCGGAACAGTCTCGCCCCAACACAACTGGAAACTCCCCGTCAGTGTTCTAGATGTGAGAAGATATCAACGTTACCACACATTCAGACGTTTACCATTATTGACACAAATTTTCATGGCCGAATAAAGTTGCTGTATATGGTTATGTATTTGTCATAAATGCAATAGAACCTCAATAATTACAACAATCTAGGGTAAGGTTAGATCAAATTGTCCGAGAATTTGAATTAAAGTTATAAAATTTACATGTGGCTTTCCTGAACATTTAAAAACAACTCATTAAAAGACTTACTGGATTATATTTATTTAGTTGTTTTCTCATAACACGACCATAACCTTCCGCCACTTTAATATCCAGATAGTCAATTCCTGCAGCTTTGACTTGAATTAGTACTTGGTATGGCTCGATAATCCTCGGAGCGACCACATCTTCCACCACTCCAATGGCCTGAAACATTAAAAGTTTTCTGATTATAGACCATAAGAGTCTCTAGATTTATGACTGAGAATGAATTCATAATTTCTTTTAGAAAATATAGGTTTACAAAATGTTTTCCATTTACCTTTTAATAAGTTTTCAATTATCAGTGTATGATTCTCAGGTGGCATGTTCTCTCTACTATACAAAAAGTGTCCTAAAGAGCCAGCAATTCCACCTTACATACATTCCCCAACTAACCTAAGTGCCTAAAGATTCATCTGCAAAAATAAACCCAAAGGTCCAGAGTTGCATTGGTTTTGTGTCTCACAGTTTATGAATCTTAATCAGCTGCAGGCTACTGATCATCATCACTGTCTTACAGCCATTTTCCACACTTGTATGGGTTAGCTGATGACAGGGTGTCCCAGTTACCTTCAGGTAAATTTAAATTAAGTTTTACAGCTGGATGCACTTCCTATCACCAACCCCCATTACAGAGTGGGAACTGGTCATTGTGTAGGATTTCCAAGTACAGTACTGTACCCTCTTAGCTGGCAATGCAGGGTCACTACTCCCTGAGGTAATCAATACATAAATAAAAATACATGTAATGTTATATTTCTTAAGTGTATGGATTTAACTTCACTAGTTTTCATTAATAAATGTTGTACAGGTCACTTACATATAAAACATTTAATCACATGAAATGCTAATTCTGGGCATAGGAGGGTGTAATGCACACTTGGTGCACCTTTAACATTCACATGGGACAAAATCTTATAATACTGAATGATATTAAGATGATTGTATCTTAAAAATGGCAATAACTTGTCCAGGATGGTTGATATAATTCTACTCTAGATTCAGAAACATCAGACACAAATAGAAGTGGTTGTACAGTAAAAGTTAAAGCGCACTATAATTCCCAAATGGTGACAGCATTATAAGGTATGTATGAATAGAAATACAGGGGTATTTATTTTTAAGCCATTTTCATGTCTTTTTCTACTAATTGCAAGCTAGCCAGATATAAGCAGGAGAACATACACATTTTCAATTAATGTTTTGTCATTCATTCATTCTTAATCTTACTGCTGTGTAAAATAGTAGAGGTTGACAAGTAACTTAATAATGTACAGTACTCCAACCTATCATATGGGTAAATAAGTTAGGTAAATAGTACTGTTCCTCAATTTTCAACTGTTCACTAATACTTTATTGCCTTTTAAAATGTTTTGGTCTTCTGTGTATAATACTTAACCCCTTTACTATTGGGACGCCACTTTTAATATTTTATTTGGCTAACGTCAGATGATTTTATTCAGCTCCGAGAGGCGCTCATAAACAAGGGGTTAAGACTGGTCCTGCTCTTTGGGTTTTATTCTCTTTACCTCTCGATTTCCATTCACCTTCCACACTTGTACACACTTGTATGGGTTAGCTGATGACAGGGTGTCATCAGAGCGGCTAACGAGCAAATCGGTGGTGAAAAGGATAAAAGTAAAAAAAGTAAATTTCTATCTCTATCTCTATCTATGCTTACCTCCATTCCTCTGTAACTGTTGGCCACCACAGCTCTCATTCGTTGAGGTGCGACTAAGCTGTGGTGTATCCTCATGCCCACGAGTATGCCAAAGATGCTTCCCGCAAAGAAACATGCCCCGCCAAAGTATATGTGTGTGCGTGTGACTGAAAATGAAACTCAAATAATAACCAATATTCTAAGATTCTCCAAGTAGTTTGTGTATGAAACAAGAAAAAATATTTAATAAATACCAGTACAGTATAATTCTCTAGAGTATAGTACTGATTATGTATGTGTACAGTAATGGGGAAAAAATCTGTAAATATTGAATTTTATAACTTTCCAGAGACTAATGTATGTGTGTCTGTGTGTGTGTGTGTGTGTGTGTGTGTGTGTGTGTGTGTGTGTATGTAAGGTAACTATAAAAAAATGAAAAATCTTTAGATCGGTACCAGTTTTTTATAATTTTTCACAGACTACTGCAGTTGAGAAACATTCTAATCATAATCAATAATAGTCATCATACTCTAGCTCAGGGATGGGGAAACTGTGACCTGCCGAGGGTGTTCAGGTGATCCACCGAGGGTGTTAGGGTGACCCGCAACCATATTTGAATTCAGTGTCTTTTAAGGGGACCCGTTGATTTTTTTTATTGGTTTGACATTTCTCATTTTTTCTTCAATATGTATCTTTACTATGATTGTACAAATATGAAGTTCACAAAGTCAAGGCCAGCTCAAAACACATGGTTTGAGTTCCATCGCCGCAGAACTGTACTTGGATGATTCCAGGGTAGCGACCATACCTATTAAATACGCAAAGATTATTATTATTAGGTTTGAAATTAATAGGTGGCCAGTGAAAAGCCCTCATGAGGCGGTGTGGCCCCCCGACCTCTAAAGTTACCCCACCCTAGCTCTAGCTCTCATACTAATGTTTGTTAAATATTTTTCTTATCATAAATACAGTCAGTAAATTAAGCATCGACCACCCCAAGGTCAGTGAAATAGAAAATGAGTTATAAAACCAACTGATGCAAGTAACCACGGGTATATGTTTACAGTTTTCACACGATGTTTCATACGGTTATCCACGGAAGGATGGTCCATACTTTTTATTGACTGTAAAGGCAGAATAAAAAATAATAATGTACACTATGCTGTACTGACTCACCTTCAGTAAGGAAAAACACTAAAAATCGGTCATAAACTTGAGAGGGGTAGAACGCACTTAACGCCTCTCTAAGTTTTGCTAGCCACTCTCGGACTTTATCTGTCAAGTCTATTCTAAGCCTTTGGTTCTTGATGGCATTGACTGTGTTGGTGAAGGTAGTCCTGGCTCCACTGCCCAGAGAGGTGACATTATTTGCTAAACGGGACGAAGCTGAGCGTAAAGTTAACTGTAAACAAACAAAGAGGATTGTAATAATAAATATGAACCAGGTTTGTCAACATCTTTTAATATTAAATAAAAAATAAGTCTGTGTCATAATCAAGCATAAATAGATACTGTACACAGTACTGTACAGTGTAGTTCTCTGTACTGAGTTGAATCAATTCTTCAGGCATAAGAGACAAATTTAGGAGGAACCAAAATAAGATAAGTTGTATTCCTCCACCTGAATTGGATTACTATTCAGGAAAGAAAAACTTTTCTTCTATAGAGATTTTTTGTAAGGTAACTGGTTAACACAGACCACTGTTGGGAAGTGTTACCATATTGTTGTGAGTTTTCAAAGAGATGTATTTTACCAAGCTTCAGAAAGAACAATACGGTATACCCCTGCCATTTGCGAGTTTGCGATTAATAGGATTCGCGGTAAGCAGATGGTGGCTATGGTGGCAAGCTTGCGAGCTTTATCCCGCAGAACAACGAGTCACCCCACGCAGCATCTTGTGTTGTACTCTCAAAACTTTAGTGTTTCTGTGTGAAATGGCCCTGAAAGACTGCCTAGTGTCAGTGCTAGTAATGCTAGTGGAGTGAAATGTAAAAGGCATTAGTCAGTGATGACCCTGACAAAAAAAGTTTTATTATTAGATAAGTAAAAAGATGGGATGAGTGCTGCCACAGCTGGTCAGTTGTTTGGTATAGGTATACAGTAGTGCACTAAAGTAGTACAAGTTGATACTGTTGTAAGTGGATTTTGCCAATTCGTGCCATTTTTTGGAACCTATGCCTTGTGTATGGCAAGGGTCTCCTGTAATACTTAACACTCAGTCCTACAGTGTGCATGGACTTTTGTCATTATATGGACATATTCCCATGGCTCTTCTGTCTTATATAATTTTCATGACAAAATTAACTGATAAAGAGGTTAACAATGCTGCCACTTTGCTTGTAATGTCAATGTTCTTCAAATCAATTTACTTCCTAAAACTTGTTAATTAAGTGACTTTAAGTAAGAAAATTTTAATACAAAATACTATTAATTAAAATGTAGAATTTTAAAGAACAAGAAAACACCTGCAATCAATACTGTACATATAAATTAATTATAAAATAATAAGAGTTGTATGATACTTTGTCATTATGTAGTACATGTGCCACGGAACTATTTCATACACAGGTATCTTAATAATACAGTCATAATATAAAATACCTGTACTATTAACCAGAGCTTAAGAAGTAAGACAAAGGATAGTCCTAACCTGTAAGGACTCTACCCTCTCTTGAGCCAGGAAGATAAGGTGATCCATCCCTGGTGTTTGTTCTAATGCCTATACCATGGTATCTGTCAACATAAACTTCCATTAATATCAGAGGATTATTTCTATGGGACACATATGAAATAACTAAAAAGCTTACCACTATTTTATGCTTTAACAATGAACACAACTGTAATCCAATTCAATGCAACGAACATGATCAGCTGCCAACAATATGCCTTTTTGAAATGGATGCCATTTACTGTACTTAGTAGGTCCTTAACACTATACTGTAATTTGTTTAATAATTTTTGGTGAAGAGAGATGGGTATAAACTTACGAATGCCCACCGATACAAACGGGGTTAAACTTGAAATTTACAGTACGTACTGTATTTTATTTACCTGATGACTTATTTTTTACTTTCATTTACTACATTTTGTCATTCTATTTCTTCTTTTGTCTTAAATTAAGTGATTTTAGATGTTCTGTAAGTATGGTACACACACAGCATGTGTTCTGATTTACGTACAAATCCGACTTAAGAACGTCCTCAGGAGCGGAACCTATTCGTAACCCGGGGACTTGAATGCACAATGCACAGATCAACATACAAAAAGTTGTTCTGAATTGCAATGTTTTAATCTAACTACTGTACTGAAATGGTTAAAGGTATACAGTATCTCATAAAATTAATTTTTGTATTGGAAATTGTCTTTTAGTAGGCATTTGCAGGTACTGTATCTAGAAAACATACAAATCTAACTGAGTTTGGGCCTAATCAGACAAAACTAAACCTTCATTAACTCCAATTCAAGTTTCAAACTCCGAGTGACAGAGGTTCATGCACACAGTACCTAACATATAATATGCACAGGGTTATGCTCACTTTTTCTACTCCCATTTGGTCAACTGCCAAATTACTATTTCATCAACTGCACTGCACTCCGTTTCTATCTACAGTACTCTGAAAATGTCCCAGAATGTCAATTGTCAGTTAATGATCTCTGAAAGTTACTTAACCTAATCCAATCTAATCTAATCTAGACCAAATGGGCATACAGTAGCAGTAATTTCAGAGTAGACAAAATGGGGTGTTACCACACATAGTATCTAACCTATGGGTTCATAGTACTATGTGCACACAGGACTGTATAAAAGAATTATAAACTTGAAATTTAATGAAGCCAATGTACCACACTGTACACTGTATTTACATAAAATATAAAAAAATCTTTGGAAAAGTTTCATTTTTCCATCTCATCTTGTAGCTCACACTTCCTGTAAGTCTTTCATGTTCTATAGCTCAAAACCAACAAGTTTCTCAACCAATATTTAAGTGGAATTTTTTCATAATTTTTGTTTCGAGAATACCTGTAGACCTCAAGATTTACGATACACATTTCTGAGTCATACTGTACTGTATAATGCTCAGTGGTTCATGCGTGATAAAATGAGACATAGTGTGGTGATGAAGGTACGGAAACCATCGCCCATTTGACGATTCATAGCAGTAAATTCATAAGTTACTTCGCAGTAAATATATCAGTCATAAGTTTGTGTACTTAATCTTAAGTTGTACCATATAGTGTACAGTACATATGGATGCTCTAGTATTATGAACAGTCATGGCAAACGTTCTCTTCCATGGTGAAACTCAATGAGTCTTTGAACTTATCTACCCTGACTGTTTTTATTTCATTTGGGGTTGATACTGCTTCATTTTGTGAGGGAGCAAACTGGCAAAATATATAAAACAAAGTTTAACCAAAAGTACTTCACCTTTCCTCACTGATAAAATGTATTAGGATTGTTTGGTGAAGGTAAGATTTCATGGGTTGGTTTTGCTTGTATTATGCTGGTTATAAAATAAAAATAGTGGTGCAGTTCAGTACAGCCTCCTAACAGCTATTTGGGTATATTTGCATTAGTGCACACAACTTTCCTACCCAAATCTATTATCATATTCGAAAAAATACGTCTAATTTTAAGATAATTTTCTTCTATTACTTTACCGTCGCAAAAGTATAATAACGGAGTTAGAGCATGCCAGATATTTCTCTATTTGCTTCCATTAATCTTCCGCCATTATCACCTGCCCGACCACCCACTCAGCGTGTCTCCTTCATAAATCGTAATGTGCATGAGTTCCCGTACACGTCACGTGGCCAATCAAAAGCTTTTTGGGGGGTCGCCAATTAAAATGAATTGTGGTTTAATTCGCCGTATTTTTTGCTCAATCAGATTCGATTGTGATTTTGGGTCTCTCATATTTCAAAATTCAAATTCATTTCCAACCATGGAAGTCTGCAATGGGTGTCACTTCAATTATATGGTGTTGATTGTGAGTTTTGGGGAAAAAAAAGGAACAAGCAGTAGCATTTTTTAGATCTCATGGCGTTCTTCTGGCCTCAGTAAAGTGTCCTAAATATAAGAACGAGTGTAAATATCGTCAAGTGGTTCCATTATATGGTGACAGTTAGGTTAGGTTAGGTTAGGTTAGGTTAGGTAAGGTAAGGTAAGGTAAGGTAAGGTAAGGTAAGGTAAGGTAAGGTAAGGTAAGGTAAGGTTAGGTTAGGTTAGGTTAGGTTTATATGTTTTTCGAGTGTTTTTTTATGTATTTTGTATTGGCTTGGCCATGAGTTTTTGTCGGAAAACGCCTCACTTAAAACCCTTATAACTAAAATACTGGCAATTTCCGACGGAAATCAAGGTCAAGCCAGTCAAAATGCACACAAAAACAAAAACAACAACAACAACAACAACATAGTTTTGACTATCTAACAGAGTAGTGTGAACTAATGCAAATTTACCACTATTTGTAGACAGAACACTTCTACAAGCTGTTACTGCATAATCAAGACAGTGAGGGTTGATCACTAATGTGTTACCTAATTAACACAAACATGCTTGTTAGGTTGTCATTATATCTAGGTATGCTATCAATAATCTTGGTTAATATCAAACTAAAGATAAAAACACCATCTCGAAGGTCTGCTTCTTGGGAATAATTTCCAAATAAAATGAATAACTTTTTTAAATAATAGTTCTTATTAATCATTACCCTATATTTTATCCCTACCTTTTATTTTTAATATTCAACAACTACACATATATTACCTAATTTTACTAGTATAAATTATATTCCTGATACTGGAAACTATCATAGAGGAAAAACTTAAATAAAATAAAGCCACATCATAAACATCACTCCTTCATAACCATCAACAAGTGATTAGAACAGTGAGAAGTACCATTACCGGAAGTCACCTTAACATGATACTTCAAAACCTTCCTGTAATGTAAAACAAGGAAGAACAAGAGCCTTTAAATATAGGACAAAGTTAACTCACCTGGGCACCTACAACCATTCAAGTTCTGATACACAATTAGCAGACAATGCCCCGGCGAGCCATCTCTTGGACCTGCACCAAACCCTTCACCTGATATTAACCTCAAATTACTGTAAATATAACACTAAAATACTAACTTATTCATCTATTAATATATTAATTATTGCCAGGCCAGGAGAGAAGAGTATTTCCTTGTGTGGTGTTTTATTTTCTAAGAATAGTTTCCGTTAGTTGGTTTTATTCACAAGTTTTCTATATTAAAAAACTCTAAGTAAAGTTTTCTATTTGTGTGAGGAGTAACTTCATTTATATTTTAAATTTGTTTTCTATCATTATTACTTATATATCATTTCGCCGCTTATGAGCTTATTGACAGTTCGGGCAGCTGATATTTTTTTTTACTTTATTTTAATCTACATTGGGTAAAGGTGATGGTTGTCCAGTGTTAGTACAGGGGGAAACAGGATTACCCGGAGAAACCTGCCATGTTTGGTAAGGTCACACACGTCCCATACCTGACCTGGACTGAAATTCGAAACCGAGACGCAATGGCGAGAGGCTCACATGTTACATCTGTACCTAACCTAACTTAATCTATTGGGATAAAAACGAATATTAACCAAACTCAGCCCCTGGACAGGACCCTGGTTTATAAAGTAAAACTGTGACCTGTAATAGCTTCCATAATTTTATTTTCCTTTTATCCTCTTCACCACTGATCGGCTCGTTAGCCTCTTGGGCGATCGGTCACGTATCTGTCACACACTGTTGGCAAGTACTGGGCATGTACCGGCTCCTGGATGTACCTGAACCTGCTCCAGTGTTAGTCAAGTCTGGTCTTGAAAGAGCTCACACTCGGTGCCGTCACAACACTCTCTGGTAGATTGTTCCAAGAGTTCACAATTCTCACTCCGAAAAAGTTTGCCCTCACAGTTTTCTGGACTTGCGGCTTCTTCAATCTTGAGCTGTGACCCCTTGTGGGGCGAGCGTCCGCCAGCCCCAAGTAAGGACTGTAGCGTACTGTATGTGGCCATTTGTCAGTTCTCTTTAGTTGTCTATTTTCTGTTTGTATGGGCACACAAACGCACGTACATGTAAATATCTCACACTCAGGAATGAGGTAGAATAGAAACTCACAATGCAATTCTGTATATATATATTGTTGTTCAGTGCAGTGCTTAGGAGTGACTAGGTGAGGAGTAGCTTGCTCAGAGGACCTGTAGGACGAGGAGGTTTCTGAGGAAGCTGGGTGGTGAGGAGCTGTTGAGGGATGTTGCTGGTCCAGTAGCCGAGTGTAGAATGAGTTCCCCGGTTGTTGTTGTTGTTGTTGAGATTGTCGGGCCGTAGTCCGACACGGGCCTTTGCCTATAAGCGGCCCGTTTGGTGGTTCCGGCTGGAGCTCCTGGAGCAGCCAGACCGGATTGGGATTGGAGGTTGTCCTAGCTGCAGATGTGGAAGGATACTGCAGGTTGCAAGTGTGAGCGGACCCCCGATCAGTGGACGCTTACCACCAACCCCCACTCTTGGACGTGGTCAGTTTCGGAGTGGCGCGCCCCCCGAACTGGGGTCCGCACCTGCTGGGAGAGGATACTTTCTAAGCTATCTGGGCGGTGGGTATCGTGTGATGACCCGGAGAAGGTGGTGAATGTGGTTTGTTTGGGCCTTTCGGATTAGAGTGGCCGCTGGTGTTGTGTGTGTTTCTTGGAAGTTTTGAGTTCTGTTTCGGAGACTTTGTGTGACTTCGCAGTCTAGGAGATAGTGTTCAAGTGGGTTGGCTGTTGGCTCCTGACAGTAGGTGCATTCCATGACGTCATTTCCGATCATCTGTCAGGAGCACTTGTACCCTAGTCGTAGTCGATGAAGGCTGACTTGGGTTTGTCTTGGTGTTTTCTTGTCCGCAAAAGGTGGTTCCTCTTTTGTAGCCGCCAGGTACCATTTGGCTGATTGGGAACCAACGATGAATGCGTGAAGGAAGCTCTTTTGGATGTTGAGCTTGTTAGTCTTTCTGAGGTGATTCTTGATCTGTTGCACGCTTGCTGGAATACACTTTTGAGGGTGCAGGTCCCTAGGCCAGAGCGAAAAAAGGAAAAATAGCAGTAGAAGGAAAAGAGCTCAAACCACGTCGGGAATATCGCGCTATAGCTGCTCTCCAGCTGGAGTGTGGGTCACTCACACCACCAGTGGGGAGGGCAAACTAATGCTCGATAAACCGAAAACGCTCGTGAGTTGTTGTCGACGACGATGTCAGTGGTGGATGGTCCGGTCCGGGAAGATGGCCAACAATGGCACCAGAGAGAGGGTGGTCTTCACAGTTCCGGGTCCAGCAGGAGGTCTTGTTGAGAGGTCTTCTTAGTTCAGGAGCGATGTGTGAAGTCCAGTTCCCCGACGATGATGATGATGATAATGGAGATAAAATGGCAATGGCTTGTCATGGGAAGGGAGAGAAGAGGTAAGGTAGAAGGAAAGTTATGAAACGGGAAGTAAAGTAGAAGAGAATAAGAGCAGGTGGGCTATCCACCTAGCAGAGACGATTTGATTGGCTATGGTGAAGGCCGCACTAAGAGGTCGCCTGAGCTCAAGGGAACAGGGAGGAGGCTAAGCGAGCTAGCAAGGGGGTGTTTGTTATTGTGTTAGTTGGAGAGGTCTGCTAGGTCTTTGTGTAACTAGTAGAATACTCTCATCTTTTGTGTACTATTTAGTGTACAATAGTTCTGGCTCTTGAGGGTTCTGGAGAAGGCTTTTTGGCCACCAGCTGTGTGATCTTCTGGTGTCCTCTGTTTTTAGTCGATGGTATAATTCGTCTTCCATTACTTCTAGTTTGTACCATACTGCCTGTGCTTGGCTGTATGTTCTTATGTTCAGTGGTAAAATATTGTATTTTTCGTGAAGCTCTTTAATTTTGGTTGTGTATGGGGGACGTTGTTTGGAGGCTCTGTGGGTGGCTTTGTTTTGTGTTGCCTGAAGTTTTAATTGGTTGGTAAGGCTGATCGTGTTTAATGGTATTGGCGGGTATTCAAGATGGGGGCGTACAAGTGCTTTAAATAGGTGTAGTTGTGTTTTCTCTTCCATTTTGCCGAATCTTCTTAATTTGGTAAGCTGTATTTGGGTTAGTCTATTACGCTCTGTTATGTGTTTATTTGTTCCTGTTCTTGTTATTGTTAGCCTCAGTATTTTTCCTTCGTTTGAGTATTGTATTTCTTCGTTGTTTACTGTGATTGGTGCTGGGTTTATCCTTCAAATGTGTATGATTTTTAGTTTCTGTGTATTAGTTTTTATTTTCCATTTCTTCTCGTAATTATTTATTTGTATTATGGCACGAGCTGTTTTTAATGCCATCATCTGTTTGGCCTTGCCTGGATGGCGGATGATCTGGGTGACATCATCAGCATATGCGATGTATTCACCGTGAATTGGTGGTGGCATGTCTGAAGTGTAGATTGTGTAAAGAGTTGGGGATAAATTACTTCCTTGTGGTCTGAAGCTATGGATGCATTGAATATATTTCTTGGTAGAAGTACCATGTTGCTTGTGTTACGACCGTGTCGTATTTTTCTATATATATAACATGCTCCAATGTTGTTCCATAGTATTCCTGTAATGATGTGTTAAATTTACTATTATATATTCTAGTCACCTTACCCTGTGCTGTTAAGGTTTTAACTGTCATTATTTGTTCAAGCCCATCTTATTTCTTTATTTAGTATTGTAACAAGTATTGTTTGTTCTCTAACGACCATCTGCATCGTTAAACGACCCACTGGCGGGTCGCGTGGCGGGTGCCGACCTTATATATAGGACCCACCAACTGACGGAGTTAGTTCAGACCTCTTGTCATACAGTTCACACCCTTTAAGTGACATTCGTCACCTGTTACTTATACTTCATTTATTTGTGTTGTTCCTGTCGCCACCAATGTGGTATATCTATGTGAGTACCTATTTATGTCTCTATTTATGTCCATCAGTATTTGCTTCGTTACATTTAAGTAATTCAGTGTTGTTTCACGTTAGTTAATTTCAGTGTTAGTTTTTATATGTTTATGCAGTGTTAACGTAATCCAATGCTTTATTATTATTCTTTTGATGTTTCGATGTTTAGTATCATTTGTGTCTTAAAAGTTTCGATGGTGAATGATTTTGTTGAGAGCCTACGAGGCTCTTTATTGTGTTAATATGAAATTCTTAAAGGTTTACTTTATTTAATTTTATTCCCTTTTAATTTACTTCACTTTTTTTGTTTGGTTACGCCTAGAACCTGGATATTTAAGTAAATTAAGAGACGGCGTAACACTGTACATTGCAGGCAACAGGTTGTATACTTAGTGTATTTCATTTATTTAAGCTAAATCTCGTTCCCAACTGGTCACCTTGTTAGCCAGCGGTATATATTTACTATGGATGAACACATAAGTATCACTTAATTATCTCGATTAAAAAAACTTTACAGCCTTATTATTAACACTTATCCATAAGTATTTTCTTATTTTCCCAACTTCGTAAATTCCTGTATTTTCTTAAATTCTTAGACAAATCCTAGACCTAGGGGTACTTGTAAGCCCGGACCTACGGCCTAGAAAACAGTGCGTTAATGTTCGAAATAAGGCAAACAGAGTATTGGGTTTTATATCTAGAAGTGTAAGTAACAAGAGTGCAGAGGTCTTAATGCAACTATATCTTGCGCTAGTTAGGCCGCACCTCGATTATGCGGTTCAGTTCTGGTGCCCCTATTATAGAATGGATATAAATTCACTAGAGTCGGTGCAGCGAAGAATGACGAAAATGATTCGGGACTTAGAAACCTTCCATATCAGGATAGGTTAAAGAAACTTAACTTGCATTCCCTAGAAAGACGAAGAGTGCGGGGAGATATGATAGAAGTATTTAAGTGGGTGAAAGGAATCAATAAAGGGGATATAGATAAAGTTCTTATAATATCCGAGCAGGATAGGACTCGGAGCAACGGATTCAAGTTGGATAAGTTTAGGTTTTGGAGGGAGATAGAAAGGAACTGGTTCACAAATAGGGTGGTGGACGAGTGGAACAAGCTTAGCAACTTTGTAGTAAGTGCGGGAACTCTGGAAAGTTTTAAAAGGAGGCTAGATAGATTCATGGATGATA